GTCCCCGCGGTGCCACCCCGGGACCCCCAAATGTCCCCGTGTCCCTTCCTGGGGCTCTCTCGGTCCCCTCCCGTCACCCCCCAGTGCCCTCCCAGTCCCTTTTTATAGTCCCCAGCGTCCCCTCCCGTGTCCCCTCCGTGTCCCTCCCGTGTCCCTCGGTGTCCCTTTCCCGTGTCCTCTCCGTGTCCCTCCCGTGTCCCCCCCGTGTCCCCCCCGTGTCCCCTCCCGTGTCCCCGCTCCAGAAGCTCCAGGCAGCTGATCCAGGGGTGTTTTATTGGGTGCGAGGAGCGCGGAGGGGCCGCAGCCCCGGCCCCGCGGGGGTCCCGGGGGAGAGGGGGGTCCGCAGTGTCCGAGAGCAGCGCGGGGGGCGCGGATCCCCCCGGGGGAAGCGGCTCCGGCTCCAGCCGCGAGCGGGGCGGGCGCTGGGGGGGAAAGCGGAGATTCCCGCGGTGGGGACGGCGGGGCTCGGCTCCCTCGGGGCCGGCTCAAGCCACGAAGTGCTGGCGGAGGTGCTGGAGCAGCTCGGGGGTGAGCAGCAGCCGGTGCGCCTGGCCGTGCCCCGGGGCGCACGGGATCGTCACCCGCCCGCACAGCGCCGGGCCCTGCGCCTGCTCCTGCTTGGCCTGCGGGGACAGCGCCGCGCTCAGCGCGACCCCAACACACCCCCGCGCTGCCGGGGTCCCCGCCGTGTCCCCCGGGGTCCCCCGGGATGGGGAGAGGTGGCTGTTGAAGGGGGGGGTTTCACCCGTCAGATCCCTGGGGAACGGGGGATCCCTCGGGGCTGGAGTTCGGCAGATCCATGGAAATTTGGGATCAGGAACAGGAGTCCCTTGGGATTGATTGGGGTCCCTCGGGATTGGGAATTTCTTGTGGTTGGGGTCCCTCGGGATTGGGAATTTCTTGTGGTTGGGGTCCCTCGGAATTGGGGGGCCCTCAGGAATGGGGTTTTTTGTGACTGGTGTCTCTTGGTATCGGGGTTCCCTCAGGAATGGGGGTCCCTCGAGATTGGGGGACTCCTTTGGGGCTGAGGTCCCTCAAGGCTGCGGATTCCTCGGGATTGGGGTCCCTTGGAGCCGGGGGTCCCTGGGGATGGGGGTCTCACCTTCAGGAAGGAAGAGGACGGGAAGGTGCCGAAGGTGGAGGAGACGCCAGCGCCCGGCTGCTGCTGCACCATCTCCCTCAGCGTGTCGTCCTGGGGGGCACAGCGAGGTCACCCCAAAACCCACCCCGTGGGGACCCCCAGAGCCCCCCAGAGCCCCTCGCCCACCCCCAGAGCCCCTCACCCACCCCCAGAGCCCCTCGCCCACCCTGGGCACAGGGCAGAGGGGTCAAACCCGACTGTTCTGGGAGGGGAACGGGAACGGGTGGCACCTTGTCCCCTCACTGCCACCAGGTGCCACCAACCCCAGTCTGGAGGGCTGGGCTGGGGGTCCCACCAGGTCCCCCACCCCCGGGAAGACCCCTCCTCACCTTCAGGGCTTCGATGGAGTTCTTGAGGGCGCAGAGCCGGGCTGTCTGCTCCAGCAGCCGCGCCGACGAGCTCCTCGCTGTGGACAGGGGAACGGAGGGGTGGGTGGGGGGACACGGACACAGCCGGGACCCCCTCGGGCTTTGGGGGGCTTTGACCTCCTCAGGGTGGTACCAGGTGGGTTTTAGGGGGTTTTTACTGTCTCAGGTGGGTACCATGTGGTTTTGGGGAGTTTTTACCTCCTCAGGTTGTACCAGGAGGGTTTTGGGGAAGGTTTGGTCTCCTCAGGTTGGTACCAGGAGGGTTTTGGGGGGTTTTTACCTCCTCAGGTTGGTACCAGGTGGTTTTGGGGAGTTTTTACCATCTCAGGTTGGTACCAGGAGGGTTTTGGGGAAGGTCTGACCTTGGATCAGCACCAGGGGGATTTCAGGGCTTTGGGGGCTCCCCAGCAGGGAGAGGCTGAGCCCCCCCAGAGCAGCCCTGGACACTGAGCCCCGTCCCCGGCACACCGATGGCCCTGAGTGCGACAGGGCTGGGGACACAGAGCTGTCCCCCTCAACCCACACACCCCAAAGAGAGCAGACCCCTCCCCTCAGAGGTGCCACAGCCCCAATCCCCAGGAGGGTTTGTGTAGCACCTACTGGATTTGCTGTGCCTCATGTCCAGCACCTTGGCGTTGGCGCTGAGCTGGTAGAGGGTCTCCAGCAGCTGCGAGGTTTTGCGGTACAGGCTCTGCGTGGGCAGCCCCTCGCCCGGCCGCTCCCGCGCCACCCGCG